CTTCCTTCCGAGGAGTGGCTGGTGGGTTTGAACCGCCAGCCTTCTGGTTAGCAGTCAAGTGCCTTAGCCACTATGCTACCAGAGCTCCCAAAATTTCCCATAGTGTCTAGTTTTCATTTACTCATAATTCTAATATTTGGGAGGGGTTATTTCCTCCTTCTCATTAGAAGGTTTTTCACTTGTTTTGAATGTAAGCAGAAGTTTTTTTGAAAGTTGGTTTAACCAAACCTGTCCTCAATTTGATGATGTGAGACTAAACCTGAGGTTAGAAAATTATGTTCATTTAAAAGCTGGTCATCCTATTAGTTCCTCAAAAAATTGAACATAAAACTACCATATCACCCAGCACTTCCAATCCTACATATATACCCAAAAGTGAAAAAGCAAGTGCAAATACAGAGACCTATACACCGATGGTCACTGCAGCACTTTTCACAATAGCCAAAATGCGGAAACAACTGAAATGTCAATCAACAGATGAATGATAAACAAAATGTAGGATATATACACAGCGAAACATGACTCAGCCACAAAGAGAAGTGAAGTCCTGATGCATAGCACTACATGAATGAACCTTGAAAACATCATGCTCAGCAAAAGAAGTAAGTTGCAAAAGGACAAATACTGTATGGTCTTACCTATATGAAATAAAATACAAAGAAACCAAAGATTATAAGCGGTTATCAGAGGTAGGAAGGGGGGAGAAAAGGGGATTTTTTGCTTAGGGAGGATTGAATTTCTGTTAGTGGCAGAATAATTTGGAAAAGACAGCAAAAATAGCTTCACAACAACAAGAATGTAACCAATATCACTGAATTATATACCTAGAAATTGTTGAATTGGTGAATGTTTTGTTATATCTATTTTCACCACAGTAGAAAAAAAAAAGAAGAAGAAAAACCTAATCTACTGATTAGAAATTCAAGACAGGAAAGTAGCCTTGATTCCATCATTTAGCATGAAGAAGCTGTTAAAACCAACTGTCTCAGCTGGTTTAGAAATACCACTGAAAGATAAGAGGCAAAACCTGAACAGATCTAAAAGTATATTTTGCCTATGACTAGCTGTATTTCCAAAAAATTGCTACAGCAGTATTTTGAATCTCACAGAATCTTCCAGGTTCTTGCCATTCCTCAACAAAATGCAGAGACTAATTCCCTTCCTTTGTACATGGGCAGAACTTTGTGATTGCTTCAGCAAATAGCATAAGTGATACTGGATGACTTGCAAGGCTAGGGCACAAAAGGTGATATGGCTTCTGACTGGTCCTCTCTTACTTTTGGGACATTCACCTTTGGAAGCCACCACCATCCTGTGAGAAAACCCAAACTAACCCACACCAAGGGACCAATTAGAGAACCAAGACTCCCAGCAAGAGCCACCATCAACCACAAGACATAAGAATGAACAACCCTTCAGAGAATTTTTGTTGTTGCTCTGTGCCATTGAGTGAATTCCAACCCATAGTGACTCTATAGGACAGAGCAGAACTGCCCCACAGGGTTTCTTAATCTATAATCTTCACAGAAACAGATTGTCAGATCTTTTCTCCCGGGAGCCACTGGTGGGTTTTAACAGTCAACCTTCCAGCTGGCTTCACCACTGCACCTCCAGGGCTCCTTGAGAGGATTCTAATTCCCATATTTGAACCACCCCATCTGATGCGGAGTGAAGCACAATGAGTTCTCCTTCCTCAGCCCTGCCCAAATTACAGATTTATAAGCAAAATAAAAGTTGTTATTTTAACTCAAAATGTTTTGGGCTTAGTAGCTGGGATACAAATTCAGGACTGAATGCAAGTATAAATAGGTTTCACCTGAAACAGAATAAACTGCATGCTTTGCTTCCCATTTTGATCCCAAACCCAGGCAGAAATGAAAACCATACATACTTCTTCCAACAGTAACTTCCTGCTGCATGAGGCTTATATACAGCTGCAGGGTCAGCTGCGGGGCTGAGCCCAGGAAAGCCTGGATCACCGATGCCCGGCTGAATGCAGATCGGTGGGTGAATAGCTTGCCTTCTGCCTGGCCCACTTCCCTCTCAATCTCTTCCGAGAGGCCATTCTTGGGAATCTGCCGCTTCTTGGTGATGCTGACATAAGGCTCTTCAGCGTTGCTTGACTGACAGTAGATGCAGAACACTTCAAAACACCTGGAAACAAATCAGCAAGTCATGTTATTCAGAGGCAGATCGGACTGTCTTTTCTTAGTCATCCTGCTTACATTGAGCCCGATTCTCAAAAGTCTTGACTTAAATTATTCTGGACTTTAGCCACTCCTCTAAAATCCATTTCTTAGCAGGCAGTCCTCTTGAGGCCTGCAAGCCAATGGCAACTAAGTCAGAACCAAATTGAGAGGTGACACTAAAAGTCACTGAGGCAAGAAGCCAAGCTGAGAAAGAGCAGTAGCTCAGGGTCCAGTGCCACAGGAAAAAAAAAAAAAACAACCTGTTTCAGACACTTATTAGCTGTGCAGCCTTGGGAAAGTCACTTAACCCCAGTAATTTCCCGCAGTTATACAACAGAGATGATACCTACCTTGCCACATTGTTGCAAAGGATGGAGATAATATATATAAACACTTCACATAAAATAAAATCAAACTCATTGCCACTGAGTCAATTTTAACTCATAGCAACCCAACCCCATAGGACAGGATAGAACTGCCACATGGGGTTTCCAAGGCTGTAAATCTGTACAGAAGCCGATTGCCACATCTTTCTCCTATAGAGCAGCTGGCAGGTTAAATCGTCAACCTTTCAGTTAGCATCCATGTGCTTAACCACTGCACCACCAGGGCTCCTTCCACTTCCAAAAGATGCCCCCAAATCACCCCAGTTAAAGCAGAAGCTGTGACTGGGGATCCTTCAGCACAGGACAGTTTGCCCTAGCATTTCCCTGGAAGACCACATAAATTATCTATCTTTTCTATTCCCATAAATCCTCTGGAGACAGGACTACAGTCAATCATGCCCGGAGGCTTGCCAGTTATGTCTTATTTATGAAATTTCAAGCCTGCCCTAGGGATAGAGCCTCAGCCAGTGACCTCTTCTAGACTGACAGAATACCTGCCTTTTAAAATTGGACTTTACTCTCTAGGTAATGTTTTAAATGCTGAAGAACTGATGTCTGTAATTTAATTCAGAATGCATTAAAAAAAGAAGATGCACTGATGAATGAATAGAGGGATGAATAACCCAAACCGAAGCAAACTCACTGCTATCGAGTTGACTCTGACCTATAGTGCCCCTATACGACAGAGTAAAACTGCCCCACAGGGTTTCCAAGGCTGCTGTCTTTACTGGAGCAGACTGCCACATCTTTCTCTGGCCAAGCAGATGGTTGGTTAAAACCAGCCACCTTTTTGTTAGCAGATGAGTGTTTTAGCCACTGTGTCACTAGGGCCCCTGAAGAGATATGTGAAAAGCAAATATAACAAAATGTCATATTTTAGAATTTTAGATAGGTACTAGGGTGTTCACAGCACAATTCTTTATTTTTAAACTTTTTATAATGTATAATCCTTTCATTTTTTTCTTCTGTATCTTTGAAATTTTTCATAAAAATACTGACAAAAAATAGGTTTCCTCTAGGAGTGAGAGGAAATGCTCACAGCCTTAGGTTTAAAAATTGTTAAAGGACTTTCTCCAAAAAAAACATGCATTTTTATAACAAACTTACAATGCTGCCAGAAGATTTTATGGCTTCATCTATTTTATGGAATGCTGTAACTTTGTACTTTTGCCCTTAGGTGATTATGACAATGAGGACACATTTACAATTTGAAATAATAAAGCCTGAGGTAAGAGAGGAAATGCAGGGATCTCTCTGGTGAGTACAAAGTGGACATGATTTGTTATGTTTCTTTGTTCCTGGGAGAAAGAAGGTGCATTGCAGTGTGTGTGTGTGTGTGTGTGTGTGTGTGTGTGTTTGCACGCGCGTGCGTGTGTGACTGTGTGCGGTTTATATGCTACTTTTTGTCCAGTAAGGTCATGGACACTTTAATTTATTACATGAAACATGTAAAAGCAGCCTGGATTAGTCTGTGCAGCTGAAAATACTGATGAAGTTCAGGGCCCTGAGTTTAAGCCCAGCTGGTGCAAGTGAATTTGCTCTGGGGAAAAACTCAGATCTGTGACTGAGGAATGTACGAAGCTACTTCACACTGTTGGACCACTGACCACAGCAAAGACTAGAAAACAGAACAGGCTGAGCACTGTCTTTCTCTCCCAAATGTTTGCTGAACACAGACACATTTTGCTAAGTGCTATGGAGAAGGCAAAGACAGCTGGATATTCCTGCCTCATTTGGAGGTGTTCACAATCTTAAATAGGAAAATGAGACACATACATAAGGATGATAAATAATGAAAACAACTAATATATATATATATATCACTTTCAGTTTATAAAATATTTTCTCACTTAGAAATCCTACTGCAAGAAATATAAATTCTTGTATCATGGTGTTATTCATAACAGCAAAATTCTGGGGATACCCTGAAGGTTTCAACATAAAAGAATGATTTAATGAATCATAATATATATTTGTTCAATGAAATACTATTCAGTCCTTAAAATCGATGGTAGAGAGCCATTGGGAGTGGGAAGATGGCGTCATAGCTATAGCCCACACATTTGTTCCCTCTACCAACGAATCCCTGAATAACTAGGTAAAGCAGACAGAAGTAATGATGTTGCAGTTATGAGCAACTAAGGAGAAGACAGGGTACCAGATTTAGTGAAGGCAGAGAGAAAGAGTAGATTAAACAATAGGGAAAAATAAATGAACCCCCCTAGCTGGGTGGAGATGGAAAGACAGAGAGGGAAATATACTAGAAATACAAAAGAGGTCAGTGGAGAGAAGGAGTGAAAGAAATCATTCCAGAACCCACAGAGGCACTGGGGACTCAGAATACTCACAATGGGAGATTTTGATGGTAACTTTGCAAGCTGAGTGAGTAGATGAACTTTCTAGGAAACATATCAAGACCCTCCTTGGCTTGGGCTGCCACAGAGTCCAGGAACAGAGTAGGGAAAAGGGAGAAACTCCCTCAGACTGGGTGGAGCCATAAAGTGAGTGCACAGCAGTGGACTGGGGTTCAACTCTTCCACGACCCCTTTTTGGCACAGGGTGGACCGAGGTACTGGGTTTTTGCAGCTTCTGGATCCAAGTAGTAAGTGGTGGCCCTCTACAACCATTGGGGTCTCTGTAGATTTTTATCTGTGGGTATTTGATTGACAGTAGGACATCATCTTTAGCACACAGCACAAGAAGACACAAACCACACTGACAAACCACACTGCCTGTGCCAGCAGCACTCACTTAGCTGTCTTGCCCAAAGATGGAAAACAGGGACTCATGACTGGTGCCCTGTTGTTTCTTTTTTCCCCTTTTTCTTTCTCTTTTTTCCTCTTCTCCCTTGCCTCTTCCAATAAAAGGAACACACTAACACACTAAACTGCCAGCAGGCAACAAGAGTTATTACACTGAACACCTCACCAAATAGCTAACACCAACAATTCCTGTGCCACAAAATCAATGACGGAAGGAAGAAAGCACTTGCTTGCCACAATTCCAAATTCCCTTCATGACAAACAGAGACCTGCATCCACATTCTCACCAGTGATTTCACCAATTCAGAGAGAGCTGGAGTTAATAGCCAAAAATGTACACCTGCTCCACACTTTCAGATATACTAAAACATAAAATTAGAGTGAAACAATTCAAAACTTACCTAACAATTAAAGACAACAACTTCAAAATGTCTAGGAAAGAACAAGACAACCTCAAACCAAAAAA